AGGCCGCTCCCGGGCCCCCGAGCACCGAGGGCCGGGGCGCGGCCTCTCCCGGTCCCCCCGGCTGCTTCCTTCCCCGGAGCCCCGCGCCTTCCATCCGGGGAACTCCGGGGACGAGTGCGCGGCGCCCGGGGCGGGGCGGTGCTGAAGTCCCGGGAACCAGCCGGAGAACACACCCAGGTTCGTGGCTTCCAAGACCGAAATTCGGTCTTTCAGTCTTCTGAACCGCCGAACAAAGCCGGAGGAGTCCAAGAATTTTTCCGCCTACCTTGAGTTGAATGCGATGTGTGGATTCCCCGGTACCCTCTCCCCCGCCCTCTCAGCGTTCTTCTTCTCGGCTGGTTGCGATGGTGCTCGAGTGAAGTACCAAGTAATGAGCTCAAAACTTTGGGTTTGCGCCGCAGACGTGTGATCGCGGAAGGCCATTGGTACGGTCGAGCCGATCGCATCCGGTTTGTCTCCTCCGTGATTGTTACCTGTTCAACGGGAATTCGTGTGCAACCCTCTCTGTAGGGTACACGTTAAAATGCTTGCTTGCTGTCCCCACGGGCCTCTTTTCTGGAACCTTGGTAGAAAGGAAAGTTCAAGTTTGATGATCCGGGACTCTTGTGCCCAATTCAGATCGAGTATTATGGAGCGCTCACCGGCTCTGCTGTGCGTGTTCCTCGGGGAGAGGGAGTTGTGTTAAAGAGGGGGGACCACCCTACCCGATAGCCTGTAGCGTCCGGACGATCTGGGTTGTGTTTCGATTCACACGTGCTGGGCCTTTGCCAAGAAAGCGGAAAGAAAATAAACTTGAACGTCTGATCTTAGAGGAAGTCCTACGACGATTTGTAATACTCGGGAGAAGTATTTTCTCACCATGAGAACTGCGTCCACTAGGATAAGAGGTTTGGGGATAGGAAGGTTCTGAATCTCAGATCGTGTCAAATCATTAGCTGAATGGGAGAGTCGTTCCACAGTACCAAACAAGTTTTAATGACCCGGTTTTTGAGATGTTTTGGTAGACCCTTTAAACAGTATTTGTTTTGGGACAAATCGACCTAGGTAAGAAAATTTTTTATGTTGTTGAACCATACCTGATAGAGATTAGGGGTTCGGTCCGATTGGCAAGAGCTCTGGCCTAGAAAGTGGGAGATCTGGATTCCCTCCTCAATACCACGAAAACGCTAAAAAGGTACACTATAGAGGAGTAGGGTGATATTTCCCACAATTGAATTGTAGTGATACTTGTGTAACTTTTGGCAATTTACTTTTAAAACATTCTTGAATCAGACACTTAAAAAGTCTGTTTTCTAAAAAGCAGTATGAAGCCTGGTGCTGTGACACTTGGCTGTAGTCCCAGCTATTCCAAAGGCTTTGTGAACTAAGGAACTTTGGGCCTGCTTAAGCAGTACAGGCAGGTCATCTTAAAAAGCAGATAAATACAGGTATCTCAGTTGATATTGTGCTTGCTTATCATGCATAAAACCCTGGGTTCAGCCGGGCAGTGGTGGCGCAGGCCTTTAATCCTAGCTCTTGGGAGACAGAGGCAGGCGGATCTCTGTGTGTGAGGCCCGCCTGGACTACAGAGTGATTCCAGGAAAGGTACAAATCTAGACAGAGAACCCCTATCTGGAAAAACCAAAATGAATGAATGAATGAATGAATGAATGAATGAATGAATGAATGAATAAATAAATAAAGCAAGCCCTGGGTTCAGTCTGGAAAAACCAAAATAAATAAATAAAGCAAGCAAGCAAGCAAGCCCTGGGTTCAGTCTGGAAAAACCTAGATAGATAGATAGATAGATAGATAGATAGATAGATAGATAGATAGATAGATAGATAGATAGATAGATAGGGCGAGCCAGCCAGCCCGCCCGCCCTGGGTTCAGTCCCCAGTGATAAAAGCTGGTTGTCGTGGGTGGTTGGTGATGCATGCCTATAATTCCACTAGGGAGGTGGAGGCAGGAATTCAGACATTCAAGATTTGCCTGGTATACAAGAAACCCTCTCAGAAAAGACAACTGAAAAGCCAAGGAACACCCCAAAGCTTCCTCTTTGCTTTGTGGTGTGCTGTCACACATTGCCTGTTAAAGAGCCTGCTTTCATCTTTTTAGACACTCAGTATACTTGAGGATGTATGATTCTCTTTAGTAATTAGGACCTGACCAATGGTGTGAAGCTGGTCATGGTAGCACAGGTCTTTTTCCCAGCATTAAGAGTTAGTGGCAGGTGGATTTGAGTTCCAGGCCTGCCTGGTCTATTTAGGGAGTTCTAGGCCAACAGAACTACATAGTGAGACCCTGCCTCAAAAACAAACGAGAAAGCTTGACCTAGATGCTTTTTTATCTGCTTCTTACTGATGGAGATTTTGCTTCATAGGATCGGTTTTAATGATTTTATTCAAGTGTGGGAAAAGCTCTCAAGTTCTTGGTGCTCTCACCAAGTGATCTAGATACTGGTTGAGAACAGTATTTCTCCTTAAGGTGTTTTTGTAGAGGTCTGGGAGTTTGTTTATTTGAGTCTCACGTAGTTGGGCTGGCTTCAGACTGGACATACAGTCAAGGGTGACTTTGAAGTATTGATCAGCTTCCACTCTGAACACCTAGTCTTCTAGCCACCACCTAGGTGCTGGGATTGATTATAAGGGATAGTAACTTTTGTTTTGTTTTGTTTTGTGTTTTTAGACAGGCTTTCTCTGTGTAGGTTTGGTGGCTGCCCTGGATCTCACTCTGTAGACCAGGCTGGCCTTGAACTCACAGAGATCTTCCTGGCTCTGCCTCCCAAGTGCTGGGATTAAAGGCGTGCGCCACCACTGCCCGTCGGGATAGTAACTTTTATTATTTTTATTTATTTATATGTGTGTGGTCTGTGTGGTGATAAGCACTTGTGAGTACAGAGACTGACAGAAGCCACAGGTGTCAGATCCATTAGCCCCATCTTGAGCTGGAATTACAGGCGGTTGGGACCCACCTGTCAGTGCTGGGAATCTAACTCAGGTCCTCTGGTGGAAGAGCAGTATGCACTTTTTTTAATGGGTGAGCCAAAAAGTTTTTGAGATTTCTTTTTCCTATTTCCTCTGGGTTGGTCTGTTGGTCATTTGGTTTGCCTGAGGAAATCTAGAACTCTACGTAACTCAGACTGGCCTGAGTGTAAGCGATTCTTTGGCCCCTGCTCACCAAGTATTGGTACTGCAGGAGTAAGCCCCCATGCCCAACCCTTTTGGGTGTTTTGACGTAGGGGGTCTCCAGGATTATAGACTTGAGCCATTACAGTATATTTTTAATATTTTGAATGTATTAAATATTTCTAAATTGTAAACCTATCCTTTTATACTTTAACCTTAATAAAACCTTTAATGACCCAAATTTTTAATAAAAAAAAAGTGTCTCTTTAACGAAACAATTTATTAAGATAAAATATTAGGCATTTTACCAGTTTGTAATAAATTCTGATTATTTAATTTATAACATTGTTATTTAATCTTTTTTTTTTTTTTGGTTTTTCGAGACAGGGTTTCTCTGTGTAGCTTTGCGCCTTTCCTGGAACTCACTTGGTAGCCCAGGCTGGCCTTGAACTCACAGAGATCCTCCTGGCTCTGCCTCCCAAGTGCTGGGATTAAAGGCGTGCGCCACCACCGCCCGGCTAATCTATATATTGATATATGATTTTTTTCCTTAATGTCCAGTATTTAACACCTCCATTTTCAAAATGAGAAGTTGGGGGGTGGGTAACTAAAGCCTGTGAGATGGCTGACAGCTGGAATTCAGTTCTTAGGACTCTCATGGAAGGAGAGCGCCAACGCCAGCAGATTGTCCTCCAACCTCCACATGTACACACAACATAAATTTAATATGTTTAAGAGTATGGATGTTTTGCTTGCATATGTGTCTGTGCACCACATGCATGCCTGGTGGGACTGGAATTCCAAGTGGTGGTGAGTTCTGAAAGAACAGCTATGCTCTTAACCATGCCCTGAGCCATTCTCCAGCCCCCCACATAATTTTTACAAGTTATAAGGAGCTGGAGAAATGGCTCAGCCGGTATGAGCACAGCAGTTAGAACTTTGTGTAGATAGACTCTCTTACTTTGGCCTTTAACCTTCCTACAGGTTTGGATATTTGACAGTTAACACTTAGTTTGTTTATAGCTTGGGGCTATTCAGAACAATGCTTTTAGGAAAATTAGTGTTTAAATGCACTGATGTGTTGAAATCTTTTGGGGGACATACTTAGAATTTGAATTGCAGGAGCACAGGAAGTGTATGTCTTTACTAAGTAATGCAAAGCAGGTTTTTCTAGTAGGTGCTTACTAGTTTTTATTTCAGTAGTAAGAATTCTAGTTGTTCATATGTATCACCAACAACAATACTGAATGCTCTATATTTATTATTCTTGCCAGTCTGGTGGGTAGGTAGTTCAATGTGGTTTTATTTTATTTTCCAGAACTGAGGACGGAACCCAGGGCCTTGCACTTGCTAGGCAAGCGCTCTACCACTGAGCTAAATCCCCAACCCCAATGGTTTTATTTTTTGTTATTAATTAGACGAATGTGTAGGAAGTTATGTGCACGTGAATGCAGATGCCCACAGAGGGCAGAAGCTGGAGTTACAGATGGTTGTAAGCTACCTCGAATGAATACTGAGAGTCAGACATGCTCTTACCCACTGAGCCATCCTCGGCCCTTGAATGTGGTTTTAGTCCCTATTTCTCTGGCTACTAATGAGTTTTAAAGGTCTTTCCATAGCTAAGCCATTTGATGTTTATCTTTCCTTAAGTTAAAGCCTTTGAAATTTATCACTGGAGTTAGTCTCTGGAGTTTGAGTTCTAAATATAAACCCTTTGATGAATGTATATATTACTAATACCTTTTCCCATGTGATGGTTTTATTGTATATATTTCCTCATTTTAATTTAGACATGTTTATCAGGCCTTTCTTTAGGGCTAGTTGGGTGGTGTTTCTTTTCTTATTTATCCATGTTAATAATGCCTTTTTCTTTAATCCAATGCTGTGGTACTTCATCTTTTTTTTTCTCTTTACATTTAGGTCTAAAAGGTACCTGATACTGATTTTGTATATAGCATAAAATGTTTAGATCTTTAACTTCAGTAAAAGAGTCACTTGACTTTTATGGTCTGTACTATAATTTAGGTCTTTTACATGGCTATAATGTATAATATATACACTATAATATA